CGGGCCGCGCGCGCGGGGCCTCGGAGCGGGGCGCGGGCCGGGCGCCCTCCGCGCATCGCCGCCGCAGCCCCTCGGTGCTGCGCTCCCTCCGGGTGGCCGGCCTGGAGCCTCGTGCCGCCCCGGGGCCCCGGGACTTCGCGCGGGGGAAAGTGCAGCGGGGACCAGAGTTGCAGGCAGGACCCCGGGGCTGGAGGGCTGGCGGTGGCGCCGCCGCGGGCCAGGTAGGGCGGGGGCCGCTGGCCGGCGGGGACTGAGATGGGCCCGGGGTGCCCGGGAAGCGAGCCCCCGCCTCCTTCCAGGCCTGGGTTTCCTCCCGCGCAGGGAAGCGACGGGCGGGACCCCCCGACCCCAGGGGTCTCGGACCCCTCCAGGTGTGCCAGGTGGGGCGTTGAGAGGTGGCAGCGGCGCGCTTCCCTTTCTCCGAGCGCTGTCACCTCCGGGAGCGTATTCATGGCTTACATCCTGAATTCAGGGAAGCAGCAGTAGATACTGTGTTATCTTCTTGGAGCCTGCCATCTCTTTCGCTGTTGTGCTTTTGCTGCCTGACGAATCATTTGATAAGAGATACAGAACGATACAGTTGTTCACTTGAATGTAAAAAAAAAAAAAAAAAAAAAAAATCTAAATTTAGAACTCAGTAACACGCGCTTTGAGGATCAGGCTCCTTTCGGTTCCGAACGCCCAAAGAATAGTTTTACTAACAGGTTATGGTGACATAGCTTCCTCTAACCCCTAAGTGTAAATCGTAAAGACAGTGAAATTATGTAAGCGGTATAAAAGGAGTATTTGTGCTCTGCGAGTGGGAAAGGCAGGGGTTTTTCAGAATCGTGGTTTATAAAGTTGTGCAGGCTTACGTCATGGCGTTCATTGATCGGTTCATGAATCGTGCCTCTAACTCTTTCGGGCACCTCTGTTTTGTCTGTGGGATGCTGATTGGAGAATATGCCAAATGTTAAGCAAAGTGTTCTCAGCCGTGGAACATATGGAATATTCCAGAGAACACTTTAAAAACTTAAAAAAACAAAAACAAAACACCCCAGTGATTTAAGAAGATGCAAGATCCTTAAATCTGTTAACCAAACAGATTTCTCATTCCGAGGTCTGGAGTTGAAGGAGTTGAAAGTTCCATTCATCTTTGGGAGGATGGAGGAATGGCTAGTAGTAACAGTAGCTGCTACCTTTTTGTTTAAAAATTCAGTTGTGATACGTGATAGCCTGGGACAGCCTTAAGGTGAGGGATGATATTTAAGTGTTCACATATGTGCTGCTGGCCACCTGTGTCTAACCAGCCAGCCCCGCAGGTGCCTCGGTGGCTTGTTCTGTTTGCTCCCCTCTGGAGATACCATTCACTCGTGCTTCAGGATGGTGCTTGGTTAGTTCGGAAACCCTGACTTAAAATGCATAGCAGCCTTCCTGTGTGTAGAGCGCTTGTTTTTCTTCTGAGATGTCAGAACTTAAGTAGGATTCATGCTAAGTATCTTCTCCAACCCAGAGTTTACTAACTTCTTAGATCCAATATTTAATTTTCCATATGCTTTTAGGTATAATGGATGGTTAATCTATAGTATTCATATACTTATATTTTTTTAACAGAAACTTTTTTTTTCGAGACAGTGTTTCTCTGTGTAGCCCTGGCTGTACTGGAACTCACTTTGTAGACCAGGCTGGCCTTGAACTCAAAAAGATCCACCTGCCTCTGCCTCCCAAGTGCTGGGATTAAAGGCATTTGGCTATCACTGCCTGGTTTAATGATCATTTTTTAAATGATTCTGCATGTCTCTGCTTCCTGATTTATGTCAGCTGGATCTTTATTCTAATAGCCAGCTTCCCCTTCTCCTTTTCAGAATGAAATCCTCCCTGAAGCAAAATGTGGCTACATTATATATGGACAGAAAGTAAAAAGCATGTTTGTATAACGTCAAGCCAAGCTTAAAATTCCAAGTTACAGTTACTGAGACAGTGCCCCTGTTTTTATAATCAGCAGTCATTTTTATTTAGTTTTATTTAGTTAATAGAGTAGGTGCTTTGTGGATTTTTAAATTATTGGATTTTTATTTTAAGTGAGGCTTTCGTTGCAAGCAGTCAACATGGGCCTGGTTGTGATAGTTATGTTCACCACGTGAGGTGAATAAATTTGGTCTCAGCAAGTTGGAGACCCTCTTTGGAACACCCTGTGCTCAGGTGGACACAGGAGGCCGTGCGGTGGAATGCAGCACTTGAAGACTGTTATGTGGAGATTAGAGCTCCCGGCAGGGAAGCTGACAGGCTTGCTTTGTTTGGGTGCTCAGGAGAGAGGGATTAGCCGAAGGCTACAGGAAGTGGGGAATTTGTTTAGAGTTGCACGTTTGGACTGTGAGATTTTCTGTTCACTTTGCAGTTCACACCCTAACAGGCTTGTGCTTACTGTAGAAGAGAGAACATTCTTAAGAATTTACATTTTCTGTTGAGCCAAGTGAACACTCAGAAAGGCTCTGTGGTCTCCTGGGGGCTGGAGAGCATCTGCTGCAGCTTCTCCATCCTGCTGCGGTGCAATTGTTCACTCTGTGGGACAGAAAGTAACAGATAAGGACTCGAACTTAGGCCGGGCGGGATGGGAGGCAGAGGCAGGCTGATGGCTGGGAGTTCCAGGCCAGCCTGGTCTACAGAATGAGTTCCAGGACAGCCAGAGCTACACAGAGAAGCCCTGTCTCAAAAAACAAAAACAAAAGCGTCAACGTAGACGTTATTAAGAATGGGGCTTCTCATCAGCTTTACCTCCCTTGTGTGTATGGTAGGGTTTGCAGCGCTTGCCCTGTAAGGATTTAGTGACGGTTTAAGTCAGCTAATGGGCCCGGAATGAAGGAAAAGAAAAAAGCCAGTAAATTATGGTGCCTATCATCACCACCCTCTTTGTCATTTGTCCCTGCGTGGTGGTCCTTGTCTCGTGGGGGTTTCCAGTGGTCGACAGTGCTGAGACACAGCTGGGGTTGTAGTTTGTGAGTTGCCCGCAAATGGCGGCCTTCCTCAGGCAAGCGCCTCCACTGGGAGCCTTGTCTCTGCGCTTGGCTGGTTGTTTTGGAGGTGCATTTACTCGCCACACAAGAGGGTCGCGTAGTGTATCACCACAAGACGGGGTGCCACCCCTGGATGCCACCAGAAATGAGTGCACACCTCAGGTGGCCTGACACACCCCGAGGGGAGCGGACCAGCTTTGTATGGCATAGACTGTGCCATGTCAGGCCGAGTTTGTTGCTTCTGTTTCCTTTCGCTACAGTTGGCATTTACTGAAAACTCGTCTTGTGCTGGGCACCCTGCTTACGTCTGTTTATCAGCCTCGTTTCTTTTTAGTTCTTCAGGTTTTTAGTTAACATGAGTTGCGATCCTCCCGATTTCTTTCGTGCCAGCAGCAGCGTGTTGGGGATGGGCCGTTAGTGAGAGAGAGTGGGCGTGGTTGCCACCTCTCGTGAATGCATGGCTATTTCCAGCTTTCTCTCTAAAACTTAAGATGAGGATAAACAGTACTGATAACTGCAACCTTTTTTTTTTTGTGATTTGTGATAACGTGGGTGTCATAGATGAAACTTGGAGGTACAGGTAAAAAAGGGGTACTGGGGAGACGTATCAGTAATGTCAGCGCTGGCTCTTAGATCCAGGTCTTTTGACTTTTCAAACTATTATAGTCATACATTCTCTCATTTTTATTTATTTTTTAATCATTGCTTGTTATACAGCCAAATAATAACTTGGGGGGGGTGAAGTTCGGTTGTTAAAGATCCCTTTGGGAATATGTACCCCCAACTTCTCCCTTTAAATGTTTCCATAGACAGAAACAGCCAGGAAGGAAACCAGGTTGATGCTTTTTTCCCTTGGAGGGAAAAGACCCTTACACGTCTTCTGTAAGAAATGAATAGTTTTGATAGGGAGACCGTCTTCATAGATACAGTTTAGCCTTGACAAAAAAAAAATCTGCCTCTAAGGCTGAGTAATAAGTGAAGAGACCTCTGCTTTGCATTATTTAGCAAGTTTTTCTTTCCCTTCTCTCCCTGACAGGAAGAAGAAAAGAAAAAGAAGAGGCCTTTAGCCCACGAAAACTGCGAAGACAATCTGGAATAGCAGTACCCTCTGTGTTGCTTGCTGCCTGACACCTTCTGCCCAGCATCTGAAATGAACCTCGCTCATCCACTGCTCCTTCTGGTCTAGAGCTGGGCGTTCTGGATTCCGTCGACTCGCGGCTGAGAAGAGAGACTGGTCTTGCTTGTCATCACCAGCGCATGCACCAGTGTGATGGTGAAATGCGATGAGGCTCCGAAATGGAACTGTGGCCACTGCGTTAGTGTTTGTCACCTCTTTCCTCACTCTGTCCTGGTACACGACATGGCAAAACGGGAAAGGTAAGGAGGGGCCCCTGCCCCCGTCCGTGGTGGGGGACAGGGTGGCCCATGCCCCAATGATGAGCCCAGTGGAAACAGCCTCAGCCTGCATGCTGCCTTCTTTCTTCTGGTGGCTTCTTTTGACGCAAAAATGAAACAGTTTTCTTGGACAGAGGGTTCAGACTTCCAGTTCCAGCTGGTGCGTTTCCAGCATCTTATAATCACGCTTTAGAAAGCCACGCTGAGTAAAAAAGACTTCTTTTCCTTTTTAAAAAGGAGTCATCACAAATGTTTAATATGCTTTGGTGTACTGTATAAAACACTTAAAAAGGCATGATCAGGGTCTTGAAACATATTCAGCAGTTAAGATCCTGACTTGGTGCTATGTAGCCAGTGATTTAAATGCCTGTCTTATGGCTCCTTTGGCAAAAGTATTTAAGAAGGCAATGAGGAGAATTTCTGATTGGAATAGTAAAAGTTTCATAAATTATAATTGTATTTAGACTCTAGAACTTTTGTCTGTTGATTAGACTGTGTCAAGGGGTGGTGCCTTTTTGCTTTTTTTCCCCCTTTCCAGAGTTGATTCAAGCAATGCCGATGGTAGGAAGGCTGGGAGGGTCGTGACAGCTGTGTATTTGTTGTTCGTGCCGTCTTTATCATCTGGGATAGTTGAAGCTTCTCTTGTTGACATTGTCTTCCTGGGCCATGAAGACAATTGAAAAGATTATTTTCTAACTAATTATTTTTTTCTGCTATGCGTTTGTGTCTGTAGACCTGTGTTAGTGATTACATTTCTCTCTGGGCGTATCTGCTTTATATACATTTGGATTGTAGCTGTGTGCGTCACCGTGTACACAATAAATAGATGAACTTGAGAGGTATTCGCTTCATGCTGACGCTCTTTCCTAGCGCCTGTCTTCTGAGCTGGGTTCTGATTTAAGAGGCACTGGAGAAGTCCCCGTGAGAACTCAGCCAGAGGCGAGTACTTTGGGCATACTTTCCAGGCTTCAGCTTACCATTTTTTTTTTTTTTAGAAATACACTTTATTGTTTATTTAGTTCTTTTGTATAATGTGGATTGTCAAGAGGACAGTTTGCAGGAGT